TATTTCAGCTTCTCAGATTATTTGCTCAGCATACAGACTGAATATCTATGGTGAAAGGGTACAAACCTGTTGCAGGTTTCCGGGTTTTAAACCATGCAATATCCCCTTGTTTTATGTACTCCCTCTTCATATATGTACAAGTTCCTCATGAGCACAGTTAAGTGTTCTGGAATACATATTCTTTGCAGCATTATCCATAATTTGTCATGATCCACAGCGTTAACTGCCTTTGCGTAGTCAGGTACACATCTTTCTGGTATTTTCTGCTTTTAGCCAAGATCCACCTGACATCACCAGTGATGTCCTTTGTTTCATGTCCTCTTCTGAGTCTGGCTTGAATTTTTGACATTGAGTTCCCTGTCACTGTACTGCTGCAACCATTTTTTAATTCCTTTCAAGAAAATTACCCCTGTTTGTGATACTAATGATATTGTTCAGTAATTTCCACACCCTTTGAGATGGGTACAGATATGGATGTCTTTCAGTCAGTTGGCCAGGTAGCAGTCGGCCGGATTCCTTGACATAGAAGAGTGAGCAGCTCCAGTGCCGCCTCCGTTAGTTGAAACTCTTCACTTGATATTCTTTCAGTTCCTGGAGCTTTGTGTTTTGTGGATGCCTTCAGTGCAGCTTGGACTTCTTCCTTCAATAACATCGGTCCTTTGTCTTATGCTCCCTTCTGAAGTGGTTGAATGTCGACCAGTTCTTTTTGGTACAGTGACTATATGTTCCTTCTGACTTCTTTTGATGCTTTCTGCGTCATTCAATATTTTGCCTGTAGTATATCCTTCAGTATTGCAACTCAAGGCTTGAATTTTTTCCTGGTCCTTTTCGGTCTTTGCATATTTCATTATAATACTTAGTCTTCTCAAACTGCTCTTTGAAATCTTCTGTTCAGCTCTTTTACTTCATCAGTTTTTCCTTTCACATTAGCTCTTCTACCTTCAAGAGGGAGTTTCAGAGTCTCTGCTTATAGGAAACTATAATTACTGTATTTGTTAAGAAAGTACTTTCTGGTAGAGGTTGAGTTTTTATTACTCTGTATACTCCGTTGTCTGTTCGCTAATTTTTCTCTGCTGGTGGCTCACTTACCATTATAATGATCATAAAAATGATAGATGTGAGTGCAAGTAACTTGAGGAGCTAGAGTCTGTTTTTAAATATCCCATTTCCCTCCTGGGTCAGAGCCACTGCTGTGAAGCTAGAGCAGGAGTCTAGGAATCATGACCTTGATCCATCTTGTTGGGATGATTTGATTTGCAAGTGGCATGAAACAGAAGATTATCAGAAGTTAAGTCTGTGTCTTACTGCTATGGGGTAGAATTTTAATTTTCAGAAAGATTTTTATTTAGCTACAGATGGGTTTCTTTCAGGCATTCTGGGTCGCTGCTGTTTGCAGTGCATGAAATTGAAGGGCGATTGTTGCTCTTTAGAATGCACCAGGTTCCTTGCTGTCCAGTTAGTTCAGGGCTAGGAGACAAGAGGTCTTCTGTGCCAGGTTTGCAAATGTGGTCCAAAGCAGGAGTTAAGGATTGCTCTAGTAAGTGGATTAGTAGTTTTACCTAATGACTAGATATTATGATTATTAAGTTTTATATAATTACAATTTTAGCTACTGGAATTAAATTTTGGTTTAAAAATTAAGTAGATGGTGGTGCAGTGGATGGATCCAATCAAAGCTTCCTAGCCTGGTGACATTGAGCAGGTTACTTGACTTCACTCACTTTTCTCATCTGTTAAATGGGAGTAGTATCTACATCACAGAGCTGAAGATTACATGGAATATACCCACTTCTCACTTATTGACATGGTTAGGTTCCAAAGACCAGGTTATTATGTGAAAATTGGTGTTATGCAAAAACAGCAGATGGAGCACATCACCTCACCCCCTCACGATACTGTTAAGATCCTGCCAGGCCCCTGCTGAGGTCACCTGCCACTGTCACTTCCTCTTTCCCTACATTGCCTCAGGAAAGCCCAGCTCCCACTGCTGCCCAAAGGGGAGAACTTCCTTCCAGAGCCAGGGTAGCTCGTCCCTTTCCCCACTGGGGGTCCCCTCCCTCTCTTGCCCTCACCCTATTTTCAGGATGGGTGACCCTGGATCGTCTCCTCGATGACTCTAAAACACCCTTGATGGTTTCCTCAGGGGCAGGGACGGGTTGGTGCCTGATACCCACTGGGTCCTCCCACCAGACCCAAGCATCCTTCTGCTCTTACCAGGTGGCCCTGCTCTCTTCCATCCCCATGTCCCCAAAAGAATCAACAGTCCATTCTCCTTCACAGCTTCCTCCTAGGCAATGAAAGGCCTCTGCTCTTGACCTTGAACTGTAGCTGCCACTGGCCACTCACTCACTAACCCCATCCCCATTCAGGTAGCCTGCTCCACCACCACTTGTGCCTTCCCAGGTGGGCATGAAGGAAGTATAAGGGGCTGCGAGTGCCAGTCAGCTGACATGGGGTCCCATAGGCCTCAGGCACCCAAGTGTCCTGTCTGAGGGCTCCTATTGACTATAGCCTTGTCTGTTCCTGTTACTCCTGAGGGCTGGGAGCTGGGGCCAGATCCTGGAGTGCCACTTGTGCCCTGTGTCCTGGCCCCACTCCAGCCCCCCTCAGCTCCACCCAGCCAACCTTACGTCTCTGGGACACGTGCCTTCTCTTCCAGGTGGTGTGATGTTATGAGCTTCCTTTCTGTGTCCACATGGGTCCACTGGTCAGGGACTTGGATGTTTATTACTGCCAGATGTGCATCATTAATGTGCAAAATAATCGGAGAGTAGATTTTTTACAGGTGTCATAAATATGAAATGTTGAATGGCAAGATAGTTGATAAGTGAGGAGTAGGTCTATAAAAAGTCAGCTATTGTTAATGTATTATAAATGGTTAACATACTTGGCTGCTAACCAAAGAATAGGTGGTTCAGGTCCACTCAGAGTCATCTCCAGAGGAAGACTTAATGGTCTACTCCTAAAGTATCAGCTGTTGAAAACTACAGAGCCCAGTTCTGCTCCAACACACGGGTCGCCATGAGTTGAAATCAACTCAACAGCAACTAGTGTCATAAGATAGAATTGGTCACTTGTTAAATACACTGTGCTTCATTACAGCTAAGACTCCAACAATTGAAGAGTGCCTGCACTATGATATCATATAGAGAGGGAAGAACTTGGGTGAAGTATAGTAGAGTTTGTGTGTTTTTATTGTTTGAATGTTTAAATCTTTGATTCTCATGAATGTATTTCATGAAGCAGGTAGAAATACAGTTTTCTTTATTTCTAACCACTTAGCCCCAATGCCCTACTGATTTAAAGAAGGTTCACTGTAGAATTTCAGAATGTTCCTTCACGCCACATTGTCAAAGAAGAGCAATTCTCCCATGCAATTTCATATGACACTTTGTAAATGCAGAGATAATGGAAAAGCTAAAACGAAAACAAAAATTTCATTGTCAATAATCTAGCCTCTATTTTCTATGTAAATAAAGTCTCTCCAGTTTCCTCTCTATAGGAAGGATTAAATAATAAACAATTCTGTCTAACCTTTTTAGTCTTATGCTAAATTTATTTTACTCTAATGGCACAGTTAACTCTCACTTGGTTGTGCCAGTTAATATTGGCAGAAGTAAATGACAATGGTGTGTAATGTATCCGTTTGAGTTAGGACCTTGAAATCCCAGCAGGAACTTCACAACTTGGCGTTTGGAGAAAGCAGAGACGGGGGGCTGGTGGGAACTCCCCAGCAGTGTCCACCATTTCGTTTCTTAGGGCACCCTAGGACATTTTTTTTGAGTTGTACTTGTGTGCTGCAGACACTCTTTTTCTGCTTTTCTTACTGTGGGATTTTTTCCACGTACTCTTTAATTCATCTGGAATTTGTTTTTGCCTGAGGTGCACATCTCTTTGCCCCTTTCCAGTTACCATTCAGTCACCTCCTCCTCATGGCGACCCCATGTGTGTCAGAGCAGAACTGTGCTCCACACTTTTCAGTGGCAGATCTTTCAGAAGCCAATGACTAGGCCTTTCTTCAGTGGTCACACTGGGTGGACTCGAACCACCAATGTTTCAGTTAGCAGCCGGGCATGCTGTCCGCATCACCCGGAGTTATTGCGGGCATTCAGGGTGAGCAGCCCAAGGGAGACCGTCTGACTCTACCTTTAGTACCAACCACAAAAGCAAAGCCAAATTCCATAAATCTATCATTTTTAAAATTAGGTGTATTTTACAAATGTAACATTCTTTAGCTTCATAAGCACTGGCATAAAAGGGGAAGGGCAAGTAATTACTCTTCTGGTGTGGTGTTTCTTATTTTCTGTTTGAGAGACATGTTCATTTCCCCTCCTTGCCTTTTCATCTTCTTGTTTCCTTGACACACCTGCTTCTAAGCGCCCTTCTCATCTCTCCCTGCTGTGACAGTTCACTAGCACTTCACGGTACCTAAGACTCTCTCAACTCTTATTTTCCACCAGCTGTCAGTTGCAGAATAAGGTGGCTTTGTTTGGGAGGGAAGGGGTAGAATCCTTTCTGAACGTCGCCTTTTCCTTTGAAGCAGGAGCACTTCAGAGACAATTGAACTGCTTTTAGGTTTTTCTTACCACCAGCTTTTTCTTCTGATAGATCCTGCCGTGAACATACAGTTCTGTTGATGACATCGATTTGTTGCTATGGAAATAGTGGCAATGTCACAGATTCAGCCCAGTGACTTTACTGCAGGTTCATGCAGGAGAAATGGGTGAGGCTTTAGGGAGAACCTCATTAAAACTGAAAGCTATCAATTATAAGCAGGTGAAAGGAAAATGGAGCCAATCTTTTATGTAATGAAAACAAAAAGTGAACCCCTAGCAAATTCACTGCATGCAGTTGAAAAGCCCCCAGCATGAATCCTGACCTATGAGCCTCTTTTACAAAATCAGATTTTTACACTTTCGCACAATATTTCTTCTACTTCAGTTTACATTCTAGAACCCAAATTATTTGCACTAAAATGGCTTTTCCCTTCTGGTCTTCAGGACATGGGCAGCAGCAAGTAGTTCCTACTCCAGTCTCTGCAGCCAGCGCACCAACCAGCAAACCCCAGCAACAGAATGGAAGTTCAGGAATGGGTAAGATTGCCACGCGAGGACGTGTGTTGATTCTGTGTGTCAGGCTTTTGAGTAGTGTTTTGAAATTTAATCTGGGACTAACAGGATTTTTTAAAATGCCATTCATGACCAAATGGCTTCTTGCAAAGAATAATTCAGATTCTTACTGTAAGTATGTGATTGGAAAAAATGACTAAAGGTAGTCTTCTAAAAATCTTTAACAATATGCCTTTTTTTTTTTTTATCAGAATGATAGCACTTCTCCGTTACTAGTTTACCTTGATAGTTTTTCACATCTTTAGGTTTTACACCTTCTAATTATCTGTAAATTTGCATAGCTTTTCAATTCTTGCCTCTTAACCATCTAGGATCTGCTTATTGAATTTGGCTCCTCTCTCCACGTTTCCTGTTTGGGACTCTTGGATATTCATTGTTTGCTTGAAGATAGAATCGTTTCTCCTGGTCACAGGCTCTGCCTCTCGGTTCACGGATGAGAGTTTCTTTTCTAACTTCCTCTGTAGCAGGTCCTGAGAAGCAATAATGGGATCATTTTGGTTACTTTCTGGTCTTTGCTTCAGGAATCCCCTGATCTGCGAAGTCACCTGTGAAAATTATGATTTGTAGGATTGGTGAAGTTTATGTTTACCGGTCTTTGTTTCTGTTGCAGCTTCACATGAAGTTCTCTTTTCCTCTCAGCTACTGGTTTTTATTTTCTACTTCTAAGATTCTAGGAGAAGCAAGATAAAGACATCACTGATGCTCCTGTGAAACCTTTAGGACACAGGACTTTTCCCCAGTGGTCGGTGGCTCTAGCCAGCAAGCGTCCGTGTTCCTTTCTAAGTGCATCTGTGTCTACCTAGCTCTCGGATTGTGTGCTGTTGGCAGGGGTGTGTGTGAGGGGAATAGATTAAGGTAAGTGGGAAGCAATCTAACAGTCAGTTCCTTAGGCTGAAATATAAATACTGTGCTGCTGTTTTCCAGTTGTCTGTCTTTGACTTAGGTTGAAATTAATTTTTTAAAAATTAGTTAATGTTTTCTAAACACACATCAGCTAGGAGGTGAAAGAAAAAGGACTGAATGTGTGTATTCACATTCACAGTACATGAGCTTCGTTGCATACTCTGGAGGTAATTACATACTATTGTATCCGTATGGTCTCTCTTGACTCCCTGGTTGGAATAGAGAATTTTAGGATCTGAGGCAGTAGGTATATTTTTTTTACTGAATGCTGCAAATACCTACAATAGTGTGATAGTACATGTCATGGAAACTCAATAAATAAATGGTAGATTTACATTTTTAACTAAATTCCATTCTGAGGGATTTTTTTTTTTAAACCAATACCAGTTTATTAAAATAGCAAGCAATTAATGGCACTTACACAGATGCTTGGAGGCTCGTCAGTATTAAATAACTTAGGCCATTCAAGTTTAGGTTCATTGTTCTAGATTCTGAAATACTGAAGTACACAAGAGAAAGGAGTTACCTAAATGCCTCCCCACCCCCTTTTTGTTTTAAATTGTGATTTGGGTGAAAGTTTACAGAGCAAATTCACTTTCCACACAGCAGTTCACATACACTTTGTCTCACGTCATTGACTACAATTTACCCCAATGCAGCAGCTCCCCTCCCACTTCCTCCTCATAGTTACCTCTTCCCTGTGTCCCTCCCTCCATGCACCCCTGCCCCCTGGGCTGTCTCCCTGTGCGTAACAGCCCTTCTTTCTCCCATGATTGTTCTCTCCAAGGAATGTCTCCACCTCAGGTACATGTTCAAAACATATGCCTGTCTTCTGTTTGGCTGGAAGCCACAGGTATGGTTCAATTCCAGACCTACAGGGCAGCTAGGGGCCATAGTCTCAGTGGTTCCACCAGGCTCTATCAGACCAGCAAACCTGGTTCCCACTTTTTTTTCTCCAATGATTTTGAGTTTTGTTCCACGTTGTTCTTCCTCTGTATCCAGAATCTCCTACATAGATCCTCCACTGAGTGGTTAATGGTAGCAGCCAGGCACCATCTAGTTGTTCTGGTCTCATAGTCGTATAGGCTGCAGATCATATGGTGTACCAGTCGCTAAGACTAATTGTTTCCATGAATTTTTGGGTTTTTTTTTTTTCCATTCTTCTTTGCTCCGGATGAGGAGAGACCCATCATTGCATCTAGATGTCCACTTGCAAGCATTTAAGATCCCAGTTGCTACTCACCAAAGTAGGAGGTGGAACAGTGTTTTGTGTAGTAAGTTATGCTAATTGAGCCTGATGTCCCCTGAGACCATGGTCCTGAGCCCACGGGTTCAACTACTCAGTCCCTCTGAGAGAATATTTTTATATAAAATCTGCATTACATTAATTTGGAGATTGAAGGTTTACAGAAATAGTGTCTGATAAAGGAGTTTATCTGCTAATCTTTAATTCCCTGTTCTTTCTATGTGGAGGTAGCTACATAGGCTCAGATGGAGGCAGAAGGGGTCAGAGGCCACACACCTATGTTTTGAACCAAAAACTGATTCTTGCTTTGTTCCCAACTAAACCCAGTTCTGTAGACTTCATTCTGCACTTTTTGGTCCTATAGGCCAGTTGAGCACTGGGGTCTTTGTGGATGTTTTGTGGTGAGTATTCTTCACCTCAGATGTTTCATCCAAGTCTGTCCCTTCCTTCTTACTTCCTAGCCTCCCCTTTTGCCTTTTTTCACTATGTGACTAATGACTTGTCATCAGTTTTACTAGTCAAGAAGGTTGGTTTTCTTCCTGTGGCCTGTTGTCTTGTCTACTGATGTAAGAGAAAAGTGTAAGGGGGTGGACCTCGGAAAGTGCAGTGTCTGGATTCATTACCATTATTCCTACCATAGGGCTTAAGTCAGTAAATGTAATAGTGAACTTCCATGCTTGGTTCTAGATGGTTTTTCTGTCTCCTGCTTCAGTCTCTGCTTGATCTTCATACCTCTTGGACAATAAAAAGGAAAAACTTTGCCTCTCGTTTTGTACAGTTTTACCAGCAGCACCTCAGTAATTGAGTTTTTGCTAAAGTTATTGTAAAAGCTAAGTAGGATAATAGATTGTCCTTTCTGTTCATTTTAAAGCTTCCACCGTATCTAAGGCTTATGGTGCCTCAAAGATGTTTGGAAAAGCTGGAGGTACCAGCCTGGGGAACACTGCTGTGGGAACACAGTCCAAAGTGGTGCCCATTGCCAGCCTCACCCCTTACCAGTCCAAGTGAGTTGTTTCATAGAATAAGTTCATAATGTATAAAAAGTTCTCCTAGGTGGGCTTTTGAGTTTTTTTATGCATGAACCTCAGAGTCACCATCACCTAAAATGGGTCTGTCTTTTCTGAGGAAGAGAAGGGTACAAATTGTGGCAACCTTTAACTCTCTTAACAAAAAGAATAGAAAAGCAACCTGCCGTAGCCTGTGGAGTTTCATTCTGTGTGAGAGTGAGAGTGAGTGAGAGAGAGAGAGGGAGAAAAGATACACAACAAAGCATGCACCCATTTGAGATTTCTTCATATGCAGTTCAGTGCCTTTGGTTACATTCTTCACATTGTGATGCCATTCTTTCTTTCTTTTTTTTTTTTTTTATTAGGATTTGGGTGAAGATTTACAGAGTAAATTCACTTTTCATACAGCAGTTCACATATACTTTGTCTCATGTCATTGACCAAAATTTACAATGCAGCAGCTCCCCTCCCACTTCCTCCCCATAGTTACCTACTCCCAGTGTCCATCCCTCATACTCTTCTGCACCCTGAGCTATCTCCCTGTGTGATGCCATTCTTAACATATCTCTACATACATTGTTTCGCCACTGTTAGCTTTTACTCTCTATGCCTATTAAAGTTCTTAACCTGTGCCTCACCATTACTATTGTCAATTTGATCGTGTGTCGATAATTCTTTGCAAGCATACAGTGTTCAAGGCTGACACTCTTTTTTAATTGAAAAACTTTTGTTTTGTTTACAGTTGACTTCATGGAATAGTTTCAGTCCAAGGTTTAAAGATTATTTCAGAACAGTAGATTTAGAGGTTCCCCAGTGTTAGTGGATCCAGTAAGTCTGGTTGCCCTAAGAATTTGATGTTCTGTTCTATACTTTTCCACCTTTTCAGGAAGACCCATCTATTGAGTGCCTGATTCAAACGTTCAGTAATGGTAGCCAGGCACCAACCATTTCTTCTGGTCGCATGGTAAAGGGGGTGGCACTTTATGCAGGCATTTAGACCTGCGTCCATTTAGTTTTCCATTTCCCGGGCCTCTTCTGCTTCAGGCAAAAAGAGACCAGTTGTAATATCTTGAGTGGCCACTGAACCAAAAAAACAAACCTGTTGCCATCAAGTCAGTTCTGACTCATAGTGATCCCCATTGGATTTCCAAGGCTGTAAATCTTTATGGAAGTAGATTGCCTCATCTTCCTCCCATGGAGCAGCTGGTAGGTTTGAACCACCAACCTTCTGGTTAGCAGCCAAATGCTTTACCCACTGCACCACCACTGGCAGACTTTAAAGACATCGAGTGTTACTCACTGAACTAAAAGGTAGAATAGAATCTCTAAAAACAATTGACTAGATAGACCCATGAAGCCATGACCCTAAACCTTCAAACCAAGAAATCTGATAAGAATCAGTTGATAATCCTGTGAGTAAAAATGAGTATTTGTGCTAATTCTGAAGACATTTCATCTTCTGAGAAGTTGTAAATTGGTGATTTTTTTTTTCAATCCCAGAATTCTTTCAGATGTATTTTTATTTGTTCTAAAGTGCCTTTTAAGATAGGGAGGATTTTTTTCTGGAGGTGTTGTAAATAAGGTAGCTAAATTACCAGGCACCTCCACTCAGGATCCAGGACTGGATCTCAGATCTTGCGTCTCCTTTTTCAGCAGGCTCTCATTCATGCTGCTGTAGAGTATTTTCCTGTGGTGTTTCATGTTTATAACCTTATATTTATATGAGAAATGAGACAGACGTTTGACATCAGTGATATCAGTTCTCATAATTGAAAATAGTGGCAAAACGTAATTGCTGGTATTGCTGTGTTTTCTAGCTTAGAACCTTTCATTAAGGGATATTGTTGCCTTGGTGATGCTTTTTGGAGAAGAGAGAGAGTTTATAAATTTACTTAGTTGACAGGAGAATGAGTTAGTATTAAATCACCTTGTATGTTTTAGTATTTGCTTATTCTGTAAACTGTCAAACCTGTGTATCATCTTGGGGTTTTAATTACCTGGATTAAAATATAGCTAACACTGAAAAACAGAGTATGTATAAGGTGAGAGGGGTCACAGGAAGGGTATGGGAAACCTTTCCGATCCCTCCCAAAAAGACTTCAGATAATAATACACCGTTTGGTTTTCAGGTGGACTGTTTGCGCTCGTGTCACCAACAAAAGTCAGATCCGTACCTGGAGCAATTCTCGAGGGGAAGGAAAGCTTTTCTCTATCGAAATGGTTGATGAAAGTGTGAGTATTTGTCAAATGAGGGAAGAGCAGTACTTGACTCTGAGAGACAGAGGGCTCATTTCCATGCAGGCCTATCAGGTACACAGTACCAGGAGAGGCCAGACAGGAACACGATTGTTACTGTTGCTCTAACCTCTGTTGAAGGTATAAATGAAATCCTTGATCTTAGATAAAAGTATTTGTTGAAGTAGAAATTAGTTTTCTAAATGTACGAGTCGCACATTAGCAGGAGAAAACAGAGATGTTGTGTCTGACTTGCTGGCAGGCTTAGTTGAAGCCCTAGAGTATGATACCTGCCCATGAGCAGAGCGGAGCTTTGGACCACAGCAGAAGGCAGGCAACAGCCACCTGGCTAAATGGATGCCTTTGTGGGAAATGGATTCTGACTGTGCACACTCTTATTTGCTTACAAAACAAAACAAAAGCCATGAGCATGAGACCAAAACATTTCCAGGCTGTGGAGTCTTGATAGTTGTGTATCTGTCCATTAGTCTTGTTAGTCTTGTTTATAAATGCTAAAATATACTTCAAACATTCTTTTAAAATGCTGCATATTTCCTAGTTTTTCAGACTCCTAAGGCAGAAAAAAAGCAGTTTTTCTTTTTGAAGATGGGATAACGCCCCAAATGTACCTGTGTGATGACAGCGGCAATATCAGAACTTAATTTTTTACCAAATCATTGGTTTGATGTGCAAAATTTTGGGTGAAATTTTAGCTGTTTATTTAAGTTTCTTATCCAGCCATAGCATTTTGATGGACAGAAAAGTGAAAGTGAAAATCAGACCCCAAGCAACGTGAAAACATGACTGGTTATAACTCTTGGCAGTGACTCCTGGGTATGAAGGAAATTCCTCACTTAGGCACAAGCTGATGAGTCACCGTGTTCAGCGTCTTCCCTGCGGCTTCAGTCGTGCCGCTCAGTGTTCACATTTTCTGTTTTTGTTGTTAAAATATTAAACTCACTGCTGGATTTTTTTTTTTTTTTTTAAGTTTCTAACTGAAGTTAGTAAAGATTGATTATGCGATTAGCTAGGTGAACCTCTGCTTTTTCACTATCGCTATTAGGTTGAGTGATTGGAGACTGTAAAATACATGCTTCTGTAGTGTCTGTAGGCCTCACGTAGATCCCGTTTATGGTTGTGGTACTTCCTGCTCTTAAGATGCCATCTTGATGCTAAAGTCTCCTGTTCACTGGTTAAGCTTGCTGTCAAACACCACAATCCTAACCTGCTCTCCTGCGTCTGCAGGGTGAAATCCGAGCTGCTGCTTTCAACGAGCAAGTGGACAAGTTCTTTCCCCTCATTGAAGTGAACAAGGTACAGCAGTGTTGGTTTGAGAACTGAAAGTCAGTTCAGTGGCGACCTGGGGATGAGGGGCTCTCGGCCAGTGAGAGTTGGGTGGTGCTGAAGGACTTTTGTGTCAGACTGGATGGATGTTCCATGGTTTGTCCTTTCCTGCAGGTCTATTATTTCTCAAAAGGCACCCTGAAGATTGCTAACAAACAATTCACAGCTGTTAAAAATGACTATGAGATGACTTTTAATAATGAGACTTCTGTCATTCCCTGTGAAGATGGTCATCATTTACCTACAGTTCAGTTTGATTTCACAGGGATCGATGACCTAGAGAACAAGTCCAAAGACTCACTTGTTGGTAAGTCTACATATGGGAGCAAAGAGAATGGGGATCATTAATTTTGTTTGCAGTTAATTGGGAAGGTGTAAGGCTTACGTACTTGCTGTTCAGCTTTTGGTCATACAATAAAGGGAGCCTTAACTATCTCTTACTAAAAGGTTGTGCCTATGTTTTAGACATCATTGGAATCTGTAAGAGCTATGAAGATGCCACCAAAATCACAGTGAAATCTAACAACAGGGAAGTTTCTAAGAGAAATATCTATTTGATGGACATGTCAGGGAAGGTGGTGTCCGCTACTCTGTGGGGAGAAGATGTAAGTACTTGCAATGAACAGACAGAACATGTACAGAAAGGCAAAGACATAAAGAGCTCCTTAGATGGAATGTCTTGCCCTGTGAGTTGTGGGGCATTGGCCATGTTGTAAGGGTGAAGGGTTGAGCTGTCTGGGGTATATTTGAAATCCTTGATTTGATTCACTTCTGTGAGATTTGCTATAATTGAAAGTTTTACATAGTGAAATCCTCTTTCCTCTAAGTCTAGGAGAAGAGTGGTACATTAGTTTTTTGATTGATCTCTGAGCAGATTTTGTGTGTGAAGTCTATCTTAAATAGATTCCACGTTACCATTTATTCCATTCATACTACTACTGACATTGTTTTCATTTTCTAGAAAAAAATGTCACCATGTATGCTTCCTCAGATGTGCCTGCCAGTGAGTGATACTTGTTTATGTGCGTTTGGTGTTTTGTTCTCATGCAGGCTGATCGATTTGATGGTTCTAGACAGCCTGTGATGGCCATCAAAGGAGCCAGAGTTTCTGATTTTGGTGGACGGAGCCTCTCTGTACTGTCTTCAAGCACTGTCATCGTGAATCCTGATATCCCAGAGGCCTATAAACTCCGTGGATGGTAGATTTTTATGGGGCAAAACAAAGGGGTTATTTGAGCCTGGGCTTTGAGATGAGCTAAGTCTTTTGGTTCTTGTGATCAGTATGTGAGCTGTCTGCTGAGCAGAAGGCTTTGTTACTGAATGGAGCAGTTTCTGTATTTCTGAAGGCATCATACCTTCTGAGAGGATGGCTTTAGAGCCCTTAAACTGACAAACCTGTAAGCCCATGATATACCTGAAGAGTTGGAGGAGGCAATTAGAATGGAAGTGCTGCATGCCGACCTGGATCCTGTCAAAGACAGTGCGGGCGTTAGCGGTCTGTTGTGAGGAGCTGTGAGCGAAGGCACCTTTCTCTCCTTGGTTTACAGCTGTGGGCTTTTGTGGTGTGGGAGGAGAAAGTGCTTTCTTATTACTCAAGTCGTTGGTGCCCATCACATCTCCTAGTATATTATTTGTTGGGTTCTGTGATAAAGTGTGGTGGGAACAATGGGCTTTTGTTGGCATTATATTGTTATTCCCAAAGCACTCAAGGAATGAAGAGAGCCTGTTAAAATCTCTTCAATATATCTAGCTTTTTTAGGGCATTGAAACTCTGTCTTAAAAGAGTACTTCAAACTGAAACATGGTATGCAAGTATTGATGTGATCAGGGAAAACACTTTAACTAGCTTGAGCTTAAATAATTCGTGTAGCTGTAATCACAGGGAAGTGTGTTGGTTTCAAACTGTGTCTTAGATTTTAAGTGACTAAGGTATTAGCTCATATGACATACTTCCCCCTTTCATTTTGAGTCTAAAGTGAACCAGTAGTGTTAGTATTTTATTGGTTTGATGAAACATTTACTGGACTGTTCATATCACAGTAAGCCAGCCTCCTGAGTATGGTCCACAGATACTTACTTATTTAACTATCTCTATAGCTGCTATCACCTTATAAAGCAGGGCCTGTTAATAGTCTGACCAGAAATAACTGTGGCTTTGGTTTGTCCTTTGCCTGGTTTTCTTTCAGGCTCTGGAGTTGACCCCAAGCTAATTGGATGTCCACATTACAGTCTTTGTGTTTCACTTGTCAATAACTGAATCCCCATCAACTTCAAAAGACAATCCTGTCCCTAGAATAAAAGAACTTGTCATTGATCAAAAAGAAGTTTGGTGCATACACTCCACCTTGGCGAGAATTTGAGACGTTTAGGCCTTGGCTATAACAATGTGGAATCCTTACTGTCAGAAAGGCTGCCTCACTCCTTACTCCATTGTGTCCTGATGAGCTATCTTTGGTGGCAGATGTCTCCTTGGAGTTTTTGAACCAAAAACTTGTGTAGCTGGTGGTGGTGAAACAGACCCCTGGACTGTGCTGGGCTTCTGTTTCGGATTTCGCCACTTCCCTGAAGGACTGGGAGGGCCTTGTCCGCAGCACAGGGCAGCGTCCATCCTGACCACAGTCTCTTTCTGAGGAGCCTGCTCTGGACGTCGTTAGCTCTCAGTTACCCACCTCTGGGATGACACGTGCATGTGTGTGATCTCAGGCTACACACGTATATTCCTGAGTAACTTTCCCCTACCCACTTTCCTTCATATCACCTGTTACTTGGTCAAGAAATACAATCACTTTTGACAATAATTTAATACAGATTGAAATTCAATATCAGCAATAAGTCAAATCTCACTAAGGAGGTAAATCTACAACAAGAAAATAGATAATGCCTTCCAGTAAATTACTTTGGGTTATGTAATCTTTTGGACTGTGTATCAGGCTTAAAAGATCTTTCACCATGGAAACAGTTCTGCTAACCTATTACAATAAGATGACTGTCCCTTTCTATACAGATACATTTCAGTGATGATAAGAATGACCGACAATGAGCATCCGTTGCCCAAAGAATCTAGCAGAGCCCCCATTACTGCTGTGTTGTCTTGATGTCCCTGGTTTCTGTTTTCAGGCCTTGGGCCCTCTAGCCAGTGTTGCTATGCAAGGCTAATTTAAGAAAAGGTTCTGTGGTGCTTTGGCACTGTGTGTCTTGACCACTGGGGGGCATCAAAACAATTGAGATAACAAGGGTTATTCATTTGCCTTTTAGACTTAAGAGAACAATTAGGAAGACACTGACTTCAGCCCCAATAACTATGACTGTAAAAGGTGGTAGTGGGCAGGTAGAAAGCCTTATGGGGGATATAAGAACAAGTAGCACATTAGAAAAGTGTATCAAGTGTCTGTCCCTTCTTTTGTTTACTTTGTAGGTTTGACTCAGAAGGACAAGCCTTAGATGGTGTTTCTATCTCTGATCTAAGGAGTGGAGGAGTAGGCGGGAGCAACACCAACTGGAAAACTCTATACGAGGTCAAGTCAGAGAACCTGGGCCAGGGCGACAAGGTAGCCTGCGTTCCTACCTTTCTTCCTAAAAGCATGTATCTAACTAAACTCTCACTGCCATCAAGTCGGATCCGACTCACAGCAACCCCTCCTTGGGTTTCCAAGGTGGTATCACTATGGAAGTAGATTGCCCAGCCGTCCTTCCGAGGAGTGGCTGGTGGATTTGAACTGCCAGCCTTCTGGTTAGCCTTAGGCACTACGCCACCAGAGCTCCTAAAGCACATATAGTATGTGAAAAAAAATGGTAAGTGTTCAAATCTGATGTCTGAGACCAGCGGTCAGACAGTAATTCAGAGCTATGATTCGAAACCAGGCCTCGGCCAGAGCGTGGCGTGGTGGTTGAGAGTCACTGCCAGAGGGAAGGGGCTGCACTTACTGATAGGAGTATGTTGTACCCCTCAGGTATATTGAGGCAGAAAATGTTAAGAACCCTGACTGGAGAGTTGTTTAATACTTAGAGGCAGGGACAACAAAGCTGTTTATGAGAATATGACTTGCCTTCAGGCCCGTGTTTTTTTTCTGTGATTGTTCACGCAAAATGAAGCACCCACGTGTCAAGAAGATGTTTTCTGAGGTTGTAGCTCACAAGTATTCAGTACCAGGTTCCCTGTCAGGCCCTGGCAGTTCACACGGACAGTAACTGGCTGCAGAACATTAACCTCTCATAGGCTGAGAGTTGGCATGCTTCTGACAGGAGTTGACTCGGATATTTGATTATAGTTGCGGTTGCCCTTTCAAGTGCCTCTCCTCTGTCTTGATCTAAACGTGAAATCTGTCAGTAATTCATTATTTAAATAATTTGTTTCTTCTTTATGCTCCCAGTAACAGCAACCTTTGCTTTTTATTTCCCCCTAATATACAACAGTTTTTATTCTTTACTGTCTCATTTCACTGTTTCCTTATCCATCATTGTCATCAACAGCAACTTATAACACTATTATATGTAGCATCTTGGGAATTAAACATTGGACAGATCTGTATTTTGCTGTCATAGAAACAACCACTCTTGGAGTTCTGCCCCCATTTCTCTCTTAGATCTATGGGTAGACAGTATATAATAAATTAAGCGTAGAAAACACCTATCTGCTCCCAAACTTTCAAGTTCACCCTTTGAAGATGGACCTAACCTGGAAATACAGGGAGATGCTTTAGGCAGTCTTTTAGGAGTCTTATTTTCTCCAGAACCTTCTAAACTGGGATACTAGCCCAAACTCTTTAAACATCTCCATGGTGGTTTTGCCTGTTTTGGCATGAGACCGCCCTAGAGGTTGCTGACCTGGCTCTGAATTCAGGGTACACCCAGAGGAAACTGCTCCCTGGCAGTACTAAATGTACCCGAAAGAATTACTCATTTCCATTCCTCTTTATGGGGGTTAAAAAACAAGCACAAAGAAGAAAAACCCAAGCATATGACTTAATCCTTGGTAGATTTACTTATCTGTGATTTCTTAACTTTGAAGCCACAGATCTTAGCCAAAATTATTTTTGGATTCTCCTGAATTTTAGCTCCTAGACCAGGGGTTAGCAAAGCAACCCAGAAACCAGATCTGTCGTGCCACTTATTTTGTTGTTATTTATTACAGTAACATATATATAACAAAAAACTTGCCATTTCAACTGTTTTTATGTGTATGATTTAAGGACATTGATTATGGCACTGTCTTGTGTAACCGCTGTTTATTTCCAAATTTTTTCCTTACCCCTAACAAAAGCTCAGTGCCCCTTAAGCACTAACTCCCCCCACACAAACATGCTTGTTACTGGAACGCAGCTGAACGTGTCCACTTCATACTGTCTCTGCCTGCTCTTGTGCCCCAACAGCAGAGTCAAGTAGTTGCAACAGAGGCCATCTGACCACATGGCCATAAAGCTAAAATCCTTCCTATCTGGCTTTTTACGGAAAAGATTTGCTGACCTGCCCTAGACAAAGATAAAAGTGAATCTCCAGGCCTAGAATTCACTGCCATTGTTTTCAAAATAATTTGCAGACAGATGGTTGATGATAGTTTTGCTAGAGTTTTGTGGTCTGCACACTCTATATTTTATAGATCTCTTACCTTGGTTTGGTTAAAGGAACAAGGTAAATAAAGTCTTCATCTTTCACACAGTTTTCAAGCAAAGAAAAAAAAGCGTTTCCATTTTAAACTGATTCAGAATTTTCTTTTGCTAAGGACTTACATGTTTTAGAACTCGGTTATTTACCTTCATGGGGTTTGTAGTCAGCCCATGTGACTTCTAAAACTACAGAATGAACTGCTCCCTGTCACCACTTTGTGATCTTGAGAACTAAGCTTCGGAAAGGCTTCGTACTTACGTGTAAGGGTGAGCTTTGAGCTGTCACTGAGGGCAGCCCTGAGTTATCGGCTTGATGCTCCATATGTCTCCTGTCACTCTCTCCTGAAGGCGGACTACTTTAGCTGTGTGGCGACGGTGGTGTATCTTCGCAAAGAGAACTGTATGTACCAAGCCTGTCCAACTCAGGACTGCAATAAGAAAGTGATTGACCAACAGAACGGATTATACCGCTGTGAGAAGTGTGACAGCGAATTTCCTAATTTCAAGTACCGCATGATCCTCTCAGTAAGTGGAATGGGTGTATGGGAGCCACCGGGGGTGTTTATCAAGTCCCTGCCATGTGCCAAGCACCCTGGGTCCAACAGCAAAAACAAAATCATGACAGGAAGCCTGCAGTAAGTGCTAAAGAGCCGATGATTGTTTCATAAATTACGAAGTACAGGGCCTTTCACTCAGCTGAATAGCAGTCTGCTTTCTCCTCCTAAAAGCTTTTTACTTTTCCCCCCGTGTCAGAAAGTTAGATTTCTGCACCCCGGCTGATCTCAGTGTGCCGTGCGTGTAGCTGGTGGCACTGCCTGGCTAACATTTCAAAAAGAAGTAATTTGAAATGGCATTTTTAGAGAGCAGTAATGGTCCTTACACAGCCCATGCCTGTGTTTATTATCCTGGTGGATGATCTGTTCCTCAGGCCTTAGTGCTGACTTCAGAGGCACGGGACTGCGTGCTGATGAGAGGTTGTGGCTTTTTTGCATTGTAAGAACTGTTTCTTTCTGTTTTAAAACCTTTAAAATGAACAATCTAAGTTTTTTATTTATGTTTTTAAATGATAGTGAAGTTACAAGAAGGTGGGCACTCACAATCTTTCCAGAGAGTAGTGATTTGACATTAGTAAGTCAGAAGCCATAAAAATGTTTTTATTTTTGATGCAATAAACAACTGAAGAGAGTTTATTCTAAGGAAATAATCAGATGTTATATATGTATAAGGTTGTTTATTAGACTGTTATTTTAAAAAAAAAGAAAAATAGGTACAACTTAGAAAAAACTCAAAACTTAGTACTCTATTGGTTAATTCCTTTATTGAGTATCCATAAAGTGGAATACCATGGTAGTCTTAGAATTTGCTTTTTATTTGACAAAAGTTTCCACAGTTAAAATGTTTGTAAAAAAGTGCTGATGAAGACTATAAAAATGGTAAGTCAGTATTCAGACTATATTACTTGAAAATGGCAAATTATAGAATAGTATGTCTTACATGTACATAGAAAACAGACTGAGAGGACAAATACCAGTAATGGTTATTTCTGGTTAATTTTTATTGGCTTCTGTATATTTTTCTAAGGGGCTCTGGTGGCGTACTGGGTAAGGCATTTGGATGCTAACCAGAAGGTCAGTGGTTCAAACCCACCAGCTGCTCCGTGGGTAGAAGATGAGGCAATCTACTTCCATAAAGATTACAGTCTTGGAAACTCGGTGGGGGTCGCCATGAGTCTGAAATGACTCTGTGGCAGTGGGTTTGGTTTTTTGGTTTATATGTTTTTCTGCATTTTCTGATTTTTATTTTTTTATTTATCTTTTTTTTTTTTTGCCACAAATACTCTTGTGATAGGAAAATTTTAAGAAAATATTTTTTATTTTTAATAAAAAAGTAAGGGATTTCATTTCATCTACTCTTCCTGCATCCAGAGTGCCCTTTAAATAGTAGCTCAACAGGAAAGTTCTATTTAAACATCATCATTTTTTGTGAACTCTACACTTTTCATTTAAGATGAAGAAAATGGTGTTTACACAGTTTATCCCATCAGTTTCCTGTTAAGCATAAATAGTGGAATTCCAGCTTGCTTGTTTCATGTGCTGTGTCTCCATCCATACCTCTACGTCATGGCTGCTCTCACTCTGTGAAATGTGACTCTTTTTCTTCTTAGGAAAATAGTGTGGGGGGTACAGTAGGTTGATCCCCAATGTGTGGTACCATTACCTTCTATTTACAAATGTTTTTAAACTCTCTTGCATCACTTTGTATTTCATCCTAACATTTGATACTAAAAGTTCCATGTACATGCAAAATGAAATGCAAAATTATCAAAATAATAACCTTGTTTTATTTTTTTCTTCAAAGTCTTTTACCTTAGCAGTTATATTCTTTGATACTCACTTTCTTCTTTGAGTCTCCCTTGTCTACCTTTACACTGTGGTCTAATTGAGAAATGTATTGTTTATTCCGTTGCTAGGCAAATTTGGTGGCTGGGTAAAGGCCCCTCACTCAGGCTCTTGAATTGTCCGGGTTGTTCAGCAGTGACAGCCTCATCTCCTGGAGCTCTTCCTAGAGACTGAAGAATGTATAATTTAAAATGCAGAGAACTTGCCCTGACTCATTGGAGGCTTGTTCAAAACCTTTAATCCAGAGCTCGTTTGAGCTGGAGGGAACTAAGTCTCTGGACCTGTGTGCTGCCTCTGAGGGAGAGAGTAGCTGGGCTATGTCCCCACCGAGATCTGAACTCACGTCCACAGCATATCGTGTTTCTGCTGTGAACCAGACACATTTTAAACTTTCTGATCCTCGCACATCTTTGCAGAGAGCAGGGTATAATGATATTGTGTTTTTCTTTGGGAATTAATGAATGAGTGCAAAGAATTTGTCTCCTAGTCTCCTGAGCATGCCTTCCTTGTATTATTTCTTTGCTGTGATAATACAGAGTTGTGTTTTTCAGGCAAATATTGCAGATTTTCTAGAGAATCAGTGGGTCACTTGCTTCCAGGAGTCTGCAGAGGCCATCCTTGGACAAAGCACCACTTACCTTGGAGAATTAAAAGAGAAGGTCGGCCACATTTTATTCTAAGAGTTCCCAAGCTGTAACACTGATTCTTTTTTTTTTTTGCTTTTTAGTATTTCTTGGTTCGTTTCTTTTGTGTGTTATATATAGTTTCTCTGTTTGATTATGCTTGAGAGCTCATCTGATTTTTTTCTAACTTTGCCTATTTTGGATGCATTAACAATGAGGTAATAAAGTATAGTGGGTCTTGGATTATGAGCCTCCGACTTAATGTACAACCCATAGTCATGAACCAGCCCCCATAAAGCCTATTATATTAAAAATTCCAAGTACATCCAGTGGTTCATAATAACAAACGAGCTACTTTGCAACATGAATCAAAGCATTATTAAGTTAAAAATGTTTTAGTGTATCTGGAATGTTTAATGTTTTTTATGCATAGAAAGGTACACTATGTATTATATATACCGAGACAAACGTTTGACTGACATAAGATACAAACCCTACCTAACTGTTGTGACTTAGCACAAATTTAACTTAAAGACAGACTTAGGAATGGAACTTGTTCATAATCTTCCTGTAATACATGTAAAAGTACTTCAAAAATAAAGCACTTTTAAGTATGAACCACTTACTTATTATTATGAACAAACACCCCAGCATTGGTTTGCTTATGACCACTTGAGACTCGAAAGGCATCTTCTGAAATAACTTAAAGGTAGACCTGTGCTTGAGGCATCTTACTGCTAACCAGAAGGTTGGCAGTTCAAGCCCTGTAAGTGCTTCACGGAAGGAAGATGGGGCAATCTACTTCGGTGAAGATTTACCACCTCAGAAAAACCAGTGGGGGGAGCTATGAGTCGGAGGAGACTTGATGGCAGTGAGTTAGTAACAATAAATGCCTTTCTGAAAAGTTGAGTCAAATCCTGGTTTAAATGCACATATAAAGTAGTTGCTATTTCTGGTAGTCAGATGCAGTTCTTATTAAGTGACTTTCTTTTCATCAGATGATTTATCCATTTCATTTTTATAAATTTGCATTTTTACTTATTAGGTTGGTTTAATGCAAGGAATAGATTACCAAGTATGCTAAATTTGGGGAACATCATTGCTCAGATAAAATATGTAAAGACCAATATAAGTAGTAGCTTCTCTTTTTTTAATAATTTACTATATTTTATTGTTGAGTAAGCAATATTTTCTGAGCTACATAAATTTTATCTATAATTTCCCCCCCCCCCATTTCTTACCAATTGGTTAGAACACTTGTAAAGGCCGCTGAGACACAAGGTTTTGGCGTTTGTTTTGCCATTTTTCTCCTGCCGTCCTGCCCTGGTTCTGTTGTTTGCTCTGCCCTCCCCTCCTTTTCGATTGTCCAAGAGATTTCTGGAGAGTCCCGACATGCCCTTTTACAAAAATAACTGGTATTGACTGTAGAGTATGATGGTATCTTTTGTCTGTTTTGACAAAACAGGTCCTCTCTATTTTCATACTAGATTTTAAGCCTCAAAGCAGCCTTTCAGATTTTTATTATTATTATTATTATTAGCTTATTATAATTGACTGTTTCTACTGCTGGTGAATGAGGACATACAGAGAAACTCATCTCTCAGGAGCCATGATGTCCTTGGAGTATGAACACCT